ATAAAATGGTCTATAGAGATTCGGCAGAATACACAAAAACGACCTGTATCTCTCATTTGAGACGCGATTCAGCGCTGCAATTCGTAGTGTGTGGAGATTGTTAACTAAATGTTTTCTAATAATTTTTTTCAGCCAAAAATTGTAATAATTATTATCAGGCCAAAATAGAAATTAAGAAAACTTTGATAACATGTTAAATGAGATTGACATGGTTTTGTGATTTATGATACTACGTCACGTTGTTCACTTATGCGGCTGCTGCACACGCTCTGATTTCCTCAGATAGGATGAACAATTAAAAGTCAGGGGCGGATTTAGGGAGGGGGGCCGGCCCGGCCCCGGCCCCCCTTTCGGCCCCCCCTTTCGGACCCCCTTTTGGACATCTCTGGATCCGCTTCTGAAAGTGTACGTTACGTGTCATAATCAGTGGTGTTTTGAAGTGAGTAGTTGTTACGCTAAATATTCGAGATTAAAAAAGAAGAGTTTAATGACGTGCTTGATTTTTTTTAGGTCTCTAAATTCTTTGAAATGGAGATAGATTAAAGGGAGTACCGTTTTCTTCCAGAGTTGAAGGAACTCAATTTGCAACAGAATGCAAAAAAAAAAATAATCTCTATAATTTTCTAATTAAAAAAAATCCATAATTTAAAGGTTTTTTTTAAATGTTTTAGGTGCTGAGGTTTAAATGGGGAGAGGAGTGAGTAACTGTCTCAATTTATTAGATGTCTATAATTTCAAAACTGAAGAAGCCACAGTTAGTATAAAAAAATTAGATCACATAATGTTAGTATAAGAAATATATTATAACTCGAAAGCAGCACTATAGCGAAATCATCACGAGAAGTTTCAACCGTACTTTAGATCTGCATTTAGCTTCAAGCATGGAAGAGTAATTTGTGTAATTTTACACACTTTGTAATTTCATAAGAGAGAAAATAAAAAACATTGCAAAGACACGATGAGCAACCCATGATTGGTGTCCTGTGGAAAAAAGAAGTTTGCGGTTTTAACGTTGAGGGGCAAATCGTCATATAAAACCTGACAGATAAAAACCGAGTCATAGATACGCGTAAGTCATAAACACATGGTTACTTACGTTTAAGGTAAATTGGTGAGACCGTAGCAATAATATCCAAGAGTGCGGGGTCATTTTTATATTCTTAATACTTTGCTATTTAAACGTGTTTTAACTAAGGGTAGACCCAATGATAATTTTTTCCCCAAAAAAATATTTTTTGAATATCATTTTTGATGGTTTATGACGAAAAACAATTTCACTGGTATTTTTAATTGTTCCCAAATTTTTATTTTTTAAAATAATTTAGATGAAAAAGTGCATTAGGCCTACACATTTACTTTCGTAAATTTATTAATCCATTGAGATTTTGCACTACTTATTGAAAAAGTAGTAGATATTTATCCCATAGAAATCCTATTCGTTAACACATTATCCTGATGGTCGCACTTCAACCCTAAACCTGAGTATAGGCAAATCGAGTTATAGCCGACAAAATTACCACTTTGTATTGAAAATGTTTCGGTATTAGTTTTGATTTGCTTTTGTTCTGAGTATTAAACGTTTTGATACATCAAAAAGCATGTATGTTAACAACATGTATTCTAATGCTTAGAGTACTACTGCTGGCTACATCCCGGAAAAAATATTTCGAGGTTTGGATTACCAGGCACATTCCATTTTCGAGCCCAATCGATTTTCGGGCACACTCGATTTACAGGCAGATTAGATTTTCATACAAGATAACAAGATATAAGATAAGTTTTTGTCATTGTGTACAACACAGTTCACATGAAATTCAGTGCTTTCATAAAAAAGAACACATAAACTTAACTAAAAAAATACACAATATAAAACAATGTGCAGGTTACATAAATATGAAGTAAGCAAAGTAAGTTACAGCATATGTACAGATCTTTATAAGAATAAGTATGTAAATATATATTCAATTATCTCATTATATTGTATTATAGAGTTGTTAATGTGTTTATGCACAGACTAAAGTAAATAATCTACGTGCATTAATTATTTGTTCTTAACAACCAATGTAGAGGTGTGCATGACGTTTATGACGTCATATTTAGTCGACCAATTGGAATAATTGGTGCGTATCTGTTTCCGCCATTAGGCCTAAACTTTGCTATAAATGGTCTCATCGATTCCTAGTCTCTTAGTCATACCCTTTAACTAGCTTTAAAGAAGAGAAGACTTTGCGAGAAGTTTGTGAGTTGACATTTTATTGTACTAAACATAATTCTAGAATCTAAAGCCCAGTATTCAAACTATTTGTATGGCACGATACACTTTTTTTTTTATAAGAACCAGTAAAATTTTGCCCAGGCTCAGTGTTCTTATTTTTTGGCTGATTTCAGGCTCAATTTGTTCTTATTTATTCTTAATTTTTAAGAAATTTCAGCCTCAGTGTTCTTATAAAATGTGTTCTTTAAAAAAAAAAAAAGTATTTTGTAGGGTCGCCTGACATAATTTTCCATGATACTAGCACACTTTTCTGTGGATCCGTTGAAATCGGTGTCGACGACTGTTTATTAATAACCAAGATAGAGTGGCGGCAGGATTTGCCCGACGGGGGTCTGATGTCTCCGACAGCGGTGGGGGTGGGGGGAGGGGGAATAGGCCTATTCCTGAAATCTCCCGGAGGTGGTCCAGCGGCAAAGCTTATTTAAGAGATTTTAGAATGCTTCCTGTCTCAACCAATACTCTTTTTAATTGTCTAAATATCTTAATGATGTTATTTAGAAAGGGCCTGTAAACAGTCGGCGGCGATCAGTGGATTAACAGCTATGAGCTCCTACCCGCTAAATTCAGGTGTCCCGGATCTTAAACGGCCCACCGGGATATTTATATCAGAATGTTTTCCCCATTACAGTGGGGTCTTCATATTTTAAAGAGCATTAACGTGTAAAAGAACATCAAAATACTTCCTTAAAACGTCAAGTGGGCTAACCTTCCCCCAGGATAGTAGGACCTGAAGAAGCATTCCAGGACGGCCTCAGACCTCTCTGTTATAAAGCCACTAACTACGATGTGTGACAATCCATAGGCGAAATCGAGGGGACCCCAGCCGGCTCCAGTCAAAACTATATTAAATAATTGGGTTTTTTTTCAAACCTTACTCAATAGCAAAACACCATTTAAAATATTATATTTTAAGGAATACTGTACTATGAAAAACAGATCCATCTTCTTCTAACCTTATTTGCATAGGTCAAATACATAAACATTACGAGCCTAAAACCATGTTGACAGACTAGACTAACTCTGTCAAAAAACAAGAGAGAAAACGACGACACTAATAGTAGAGCGGCTAAGGTTGAATTTCATGTAGAATCGTGCACTTCTGTAAGAAAGCATGAAACTTCCCACAGTGATACTATGACACCTAAAGATCATTAAAAAAAAATAGACCCCAAAAAATAATTCCTCCTAATGGCCACCATCTTGAAATCCAATATGGCCGCCAAAATATTTGATTTTAGCCAATATATTCATATCTACAGCACATGTCATTGCCAAATGAAGATCATTACCCATGTTTTCAATATCAGGGAGTGTCATGCAATCATCAGAAATTATGTAAGATGGCGCCGCCATATTAGATTTCAAGATGGCCGCCAGATTAATGATATTTTTGTCAATATTCATATCTACAGTAGGCCTACCTAGCACTGTCAATCAAAGACCGTTGCCCATGTTTTCGATATCAGGGACTACCATGCAGCCATCAGAAATTATGTCAGAAGATCACCATATTAAATTTCAAAATGGCCGCCATCTTGAAATTTAATATGGCCGCCAAAATAATTAATTTTAGCCTATGTATTCATATTTACAGCACATATCACTCCAACTGAAGATCATTACCCATGTTTTCAATATCAGGGAGTGTCATGCAATCATTAGAAATTATGTCAGATGGCGCCGCCATATTGGATTTCAAGATGGCCGCCAAATTATTGCTATTTTTGTCAATATCTTATCTACAGCACCTAGCACTGTCAATCAAAGACCGTTGCCCATGTTCTCGATATCAAGGACTATCATGCATTTATCAGAAATTATGTCATAAAATTGAATTTAAAGATTGCTGCCATACTATTTCAAGATGGCCCCCAAGTTAATTATTGATAATGTTGTAAATATCGTAATATCTACAACACCTAGCACTGTCAAAGATCTTTACTCGTGTTTTCGATATCCGGGAGTATCATGCAGATATCAGAAATTATGTCAGAAGGCCGCCATATTGAATTTCAAGATGGCTGCCTTATAGGATATCAAGATGGCGGCCAAATTTTTTTTTTCATATTTACATATGTAAACTACCAGCACTGTGAATCAAGATTGTGTATATGTATAATTAGGGATATCATGCAATTATCAAACATCTCATAATGATAGTGAGACTTGCCTATGGCAGTAAAGTAACACCATTTAGAAGGAAGTCCGACAACTCCCACGTTGGATTTCAGGATGATTGCCAATTAAGAAAGGTACATGAAAGAAATGGAAATTAAAAAAAATAATAGAAAACTGTTAAGGAATAACAAATTGGTAATCAATCGAAAGTAATGAAAATTTAAAAAAATACGTAAATAACTGCTTTGTATGGTATGAGAGCAAGTTCAGAGGGAGAGATATAGATGCAGATATTAAACATCATTTATATTAAAGTTAGTTTAGCATGAATGAAATTATATAAACATAAATCAAATATTCAAATTAATGGTGTGAAGACACTAATATCGAATAGACCTCATGTCTTTGAGATGGCTAATTATCATTTTCAAATGATATATAAATATTGAAAGGGAAAGAAAAGGAAAAGAAAGAACGGAAAGGAAAAACTGGAAAGGGAAAAGAAATAAAAAAGAATAGAAAATGAATATAATGGAGAAAGTGAAAAGAAATAAAAGAAACATCAAGAAAAATTAAGAAAAGTATATAGATAA